ATCTACATCTGTAGAACGTGAAGAACCAGTGGCATCTACATCTGTAGAACGTGAAGAACCAGTGGCATCTACATTTGCAGAACGTGAAGAACCAGTGGCATCTACATCTGCAGAATGTGAAGAACCAGTGGCATCTACATCTGTAGAACATGGAGAACCATTGGCATCTTCATCTGTAGAACGTGAAGAACCAGTGGCATCTACATCTGCAGAACGTAAAGAACCAGTGGCGGCATCTACATCTGTAGAACGTGAAGAACCAGTGGCATCTACATCTGTAGAACTTGAAGAACCAGTGGCATCTACATCTGTAGAACATGAAGAACCAGTGGAATCTACACCTGCAGAACGTGAAGAACCATTGGCATCTACATCTGTAGAACGTGAAAAACCAGTGGCATCTACATCTGTAGAACATGAAGAACCAGTGGCATCTACATCTGCAGAACGTGAAGAACCTGTGGCATCTACATCTGTAGAACATGAAGAACCAGTGGCATCTACATCTGCAGAACGTGAAGAATCAGTGGCATTTACATCTACAGAACGTGAAGAACCAGTGGCATCTCCATCTGTAGAACGTGAAGAACCAGTGGCATCTACATCTGTAGAACGTGAAGAACCAGTGGCATCTACATCTGTAGAACGTGAAGAACCAGTGGCATCTACATCTGTAGAACGTGAAGAACCAGTTGCATCTACATCTGCAGAACGTGAAGAACCAGTGGCATCTACATCCGCAGAACGTGAAGAACCAGTGGCATCTACATCTGCAGAACGTGAAGAACCATTGGCATCTTCATCTGTAGAACGTGAAGAACCAGTGGCATCTACATCTGCAGAACGTAAAGAACCAGTGGCATCTTCATCTGTAGAACGTGAAGAACCAGTGGCATCTACATCTGCAGAACGTAAATAACCAGTGGCGGCATCTACATCTGTAGAACGTGAAGAACCAGTGGAATCCACATCTGTAGAACGTGCAGCATCTACACTGACTTGCTATGCAGTAGCTATTTTATTATTTCATTGCACGCTTGTATTTAACTCACTCTGTCTGTCGTTGGTGTTGTTGTATCCTCGAATCTTGCAACGGAATTTTAACCCACTTCCCAGTGTGGTATCGAATGCAAACGTGGTATACTTATGCCATACCGATGACAATACTATATTCTATCATTAAAAAATGCTAAATATACATCTTGAAAACATTACAATTTACATGTTGTGGTTCGGCTTGGCTCTAATTGTCCGCGCTCAGCTGACGTTGGCTGTAGTTGGCCACGGTCCCTCAGGTGGTGGCGAGCATCAGGGGCCACTCCCTGGAGTCGTGGAGTTCTGCCGTGGCATTAAAGTTCGTTTAAATCCTGGTTTCACACGAAGGCTTTCGCGACCGACGTCACATTGTACATGTTGTGGATTGGCTCTCCGACACATCGCTGAGCTGTACCAGCAACGAATCGGCACGTTCTGTTCACGTGACAAAGGGTCCGTCAGTGAATGACGTCACGCGATTTTTGACTCCCACCCCTCTCCCCACCTTCGTCACGCGGCGTCACAAAAAGTCAGACTCCCCCCCCCCCTCAAATATGACGTCACAATGCTATGCCCCCCTTCCCCCCGCCCCCCAGAAAAATATAAAACCTGCTTGAAATCGCTTTAAAGTATTGTCATTTTAGCACGTATTTAATGTGGCGCTGCACTCTGATGTTGCAGTGTTGTTGTTATAACAACTAGTGTTGTTATAACAATTCTATGTTTATTTAAAGTGGCGCATTTTGATGGTACGATCATCATCATCATCACCACGTGGCGTCCACGCATACAAACACAGAGACAATTTCACCCGAGAAGATGGATTCTGGCTTAGCAATCATTGGAAGGATTTGAAAAAAACCATTTCGGGTTTTAAATTGATTGATCACGCTTACGGTGGCTTTCAGACGGCATCCATTATTTTCGTCTCCCCCCCCCCCCCTCCTCTTTTCCGAACACAGATGGACTCGTCCATCTGAACAAACTGTCAAATCGCTCTCCGTGGTGCTGACGTTAAAAATAACCCGCCACTTTTTTCAAATATTTCTTGCTGTGGTTTGCACACCTGATGATGATGATTGCTGCTCGTGTTGCAGCCGAAAGGTCGTGAGAATTTTTATTGTTTTATATTTTTTATTATTTTATTGTTTCCCTTCTACGTGGTGGTGACTTTAACGAAAGAACCAAGAATATAACTCTGCCTTGTTATGATGTAAGGAAGCCGATGCCTTTTAAATATCTCAGCAAAGCTGTCAACCCAGTCGGGTGACCCCGTGTTCTCCTACAGAGTTTTTCAGGTCCAGAAGGCGTACAGCCGTTTGCGTACGGGCACAAATAAAACATAAATCATTTTTCGATTTAAAACTTTTGTTAACTGCAGTGATTCATATTCTTGGTTCTTTCGGTAAAGTCACCACGTAGAAGGGAAGCAATAAAATAATGAAAATATAAAACAATATTATTTTATTGTTTCCCTTCTACGTGGTGGTGACTTTACTGAAAGAACCAAGTATATGAATCCCTGCAGTCACGAAAGCTTTAAATAAAAAAAAAAAATTGTCTTTGTGTTTCTCTCCCTCGTGATGATGGAGACTTTGTAGGATGAACGTTGAGATTTATAAGGGGCACGGGGTGACCAGTAACATTTGAGTTGGTCTGTAATAAGGTAGGGCAGTGTAGTGTATAGTAGTGTATAGTGTAGTGTATAGTGTAGTGTATAGTGTAGTGTATAGTAGTGTATAGTGTAGTGTATAGTGTAGTGTATAGTAGTGTATATAGTAGTGTATATAGTAGTGTATAGTGTAGTGTATAGTAGTGTATAGTGTAGTGTATAGTAGTGTATAGTAGTGTACTGTATAGTAGTGTAGTGTATAGTAGTGTATAGTGTAGTGTATAGTAGTGTATAGTGTAGTGTATAGTAGTGTATAGTAGTGTATAGTGTAGTGGATAGTAGTGTATATAGTAGTGTATAGTGTAGTGTATAGTAGTGTATAGTAGTGTATAGTGTAGTGTATAGTAGTGTATAGTAGTGTATAGTGTAGTGGATAGTAGTGTATATAGTAGTGTATAGTGTAGTGTATAGTAGTGTATAGTGTAGTGTATAGTACTGCATATAGTAGTGTATAGTGTAGTATATTGTGTAGTGTATAGTAGTGTATATAGCAGTGTATAGTGTAGTGTATTGTGTAGTGTATAGTAGTGTATATAGTAGTGTATAGTGTAGTGTATTGTGTAGTTTATAGTAGTGTTTAGTGTAATGTATAGTTTAGTGTATAGTGGTGTATATAGTAGTGTGTAGTGTGTTGTGTAGTGTATAGTAGTGTATATAGTAGTGTATATAGTAGTGTATAGTGTAGTGTATTGTGTAGTGTATAGTGTAGTGTAAAGTGTAGTGTATAGTGTAGTGTATAGTACTGTATATGGTAGTGTATAGTGTAGTGTATTGTGTAGTGTATAGTAGTGTATATAGCAGTGTATAGTAGTGTATATAGTAGTGTATAATGTAGTGTATAGTGTGTATAGTAGTGTATATAGTAGTGTATAGTGTAGTGTATAGTGTAGTGTATAGTGTAGTGTATAGTAGTGTATAATGTAGTGTATAGTGTAGTGTATAGTAGTGTATATAGTAGTGTATAGTGTAGTGTATAGTGTAGTGTATAATAGTGTAGTGTATATAGTAGTGTGTAGTGTATAGTAGTGTAGTGTATAGTAGTGTAGTGTATAGTAGTGTTTATAGTAGTGTATAGTGTAGTGTATAGTAGTGTATATATAGTAGTGTATTGTGTAGTATATAGTAGTGTATATTGTAGTGTATTGTGTAGTATATAGTAGTGTATAGTGTAGTGTATAGTGTAGTGTATATATAGTAGTGTATAGTGTAGTGTATAGTAGTGTATATATAGTAGTGTATTGTGTAGTATATAGTAGTGTATAGTGTAGTGTATAGTGTAGTGTATAGTAGTGTAGTATATAGTGTAGTGTATAGTGTAGTGTATAGCGAAGTGCATAGTGTAGTGTATTGTGTAGTATATAGTAGTGTATAGTGTAGTGTATAGTGTAGTGTATAGTGTAGTGTATAGTGTAGTGTATTGTGTAGTGTATAGTGTAGTGTATAGTGTAGTGTATAGTGTAGTGTATAGTAGTGTATATATAGTAGTGTATAGTGTAGTGTATAGTGTAGTATATAGTAGTGTATAGTGTAGTGTATTGTGTAGTATATAGTAGTGTATAGTGTATAGTAGTGTAGTGTATATAGTAGTGTATAGTGTAGTGTATAGTAGTGTATATATAGTAGTGTATTGTGTAGTGTATTGTGTAGTATATAGTAGTGTATAGTGTAGTGTATAGTAGTGTAAAGTGTAGTGTATAGTAGTGTATATATAGTAGTGTATTGTGTAGTATATAGTAGTGTATAGTGTAGTGTATAGTGTAGTGTATAGTAGTGTAGTATATAGTAGTGTATAGTGTAGTGTATAGTGTAGTGTATAGTAGTGTAGTATAAAGTAGTGTATAGTGTAGTGTATAGTGTAGTGTATAGTGTATTGTGTAGTGTATAGTGTAGTGTATAGTAGTGTAGTGTATAGTAGTGTATAGAGTAGTGTATAGTGTAGTGTATTGTGTAGTGTATAGTGTAGTGTATAGTAGTGTATAGTAGTGCATAGTAGTGTATATATAGTAGTGTATAGTGTAGTGTGTAGTGTAGTGTATAGTAGTGTAGTGTATAGTAGTGTAGTGTATAGTAGTGTAGTGTATAGTAGTGTAGTGTATAGTAGTGTAGTGTATAGAGTAGTGTATAGTGTAGTGTATAGTAGTGTATAGTGTAGTGTATAGTGTAGTGTATAGTCGTGTATAGAGGAGGGGGGAGCGAGGGAGGGGCGGGGCGGGGTGGGGGAGGGGAGGGGAGGGGCGGGGAGGCGGTGAGGGTGGGGGAGGGGCGGGGAGTGGTCGGTGTAGTGGATGAGGTGGGCGGGGCGAGGAGGGGGCGTGGCCCCGAGGCGGATGAGACACGAGGAGCGATCCGATTGGCCGGGGCTGTCCGCTCTACGAAACCCCGGTGAGTGGACGTGTGGCTGAAACTTTAAACTTAAAACATTTTTTACCATTTAACAATTGGCAATCAATTTCGGGAAAGCAAAAGAAAAATTCCTCCACATTAACAGCGACATTGTCTGTTTGTGTGCTTGGGTTGGGTTCAATGTGTTTTTTTAAAGAAATATAATAAGAATAAAGGTGGTAGTGGTGGTCACCGGGTTAACCCACGACCGGCTCGGCGGGCCTGGCCCGGCCGGGAACGGCGCCTCGGGACCCGGCAGAGAATCTATCCGAGCGCCGTGGTGTAGGCCGCAGGCCGCGGTGTCTGCCCGTGGTTGTCAAAGTTCATTATTTCGTTGACTCTCAGAGCTCGGATTTAGCCAGCACTGCCGTACGATGTGATTGCTTGTGTGTGGTTTGTTCAATTCATTGGTGCTGAACGAGGCTTAGACCGGTAACGCGCTACAATTGATACATCGGTTTCATATGCACGCACATTCAATGTGCAAGTCTGTAGGTCTCTGTGTGAGTGAGTCTGTGGGTCTCTGTGCGGTGAGTCTGTGGGTCTCTGTGTGAGTGAGTCTGTGGGTCTCTGTGTGAGTGAGTCTGTGGGTCTCTGTGCGGTGAGTCTGTGGGTCTCTGTGTGGTGAGTCTGTGGGTCTCTGTGCGGTGAGTCTGTGGGTCTCTGTGTGGTGAGTCTGTGGGTCTCTGCGCGGTGAGCCTGTGGGTCTCTGTGTGAGTCTGTGGGTCTCTGTGTGGTGAGCGTGTGGGTCTCTGTGCGGTGAGTCTGTGGGTCTCTGTGCGGTGAGTCTGTGGGTCTCTGTGTGATGAGTCTGTGGGTCTCTGTGTAGCGAGTCTGTGGGTCTCTGTGTGGTGAGTCTGTGGGTCTCTGTGTGAGTGAGTCTGTGGGTCTCTGTGGGGTGAGTCTGTGGGTCTCTGTGCGGTGAGTCTGTGGGTCTCTGTGTGAGTCTGTGGGTCTCTGTGTGATGAGTCTGTGGGTCTCTGTGTGGTGAGTCTGTGGGTCTCTGTGTGGTGAGTCTGTGGGTCTCTGTGGGGTGAGTCTGTGGGTCTCTGTGTGGTGAGTCTGTGGGCCTCTGTGTGAGTGAGTCTGTGGGTCTCTGTGCGGTGAGTCTGTGGGTCTCTGTGGGGTGAGTCTGTGGGTCTCTGTGCGGTGAGTCTGTGGGTCTCTGTGTGAGTGAGTCTGTGGGTGTCTGTGCGGTGAGTCTGTGGGTCTCTCTGCGAGTCTGTGGGCCTCTGTGCGGTGAGTCTGTGGGTCTCTGTGTGGTGAGTATATGGGTCTCTGTGTGATGAGTCTGTGGGTCTCTGCGTGATGAGTCTGTGGGTCTCTGTGCGATGAGTCTGTGGGTCTCTGTGTGAGTGAGTCTGTGGGTCTCTGTGTGAGTGAGTCTGTGGGTCTCTGTGCGGTGAGTCTGTGGGTCTCTGTGCGGTGAGTCTGTGGGTCTCTGTATGGTGAGTCTGTGGGTCTCTGTGTGATGAGTCTGTGGGTCTCTGTGCGAGTGATTCTGTGGGGCTCTGTGCGGTGAGTCTGTGGGTCTCTGTGCGAGTCTGTGGGTCTCTGTGCGAGTCTGGGTCTCTGTGTGGTGAGTCTATGGGTCTCTGTGTGGTGAGTCTGTGGGTCTCTGTGTGATGAGTCTGTGGGTCTCTGTGTGATGAGTCTGTGGGTCTCTGTGTGATGAGTCTGTGGGTCTCTGTGCGGTGAGTCTGTGGCTCTCTGTGCGGTGAGTCTGTGGGTCTCTGTATGGTGAGTCTGTGGGTCTCTGTGTGATGAGTCTGTGGGTCTCTGCGAGTGATTCTGTGGGGCTCTGTGCGGTGAGTCTGTGGTCTCTGTGCGGTGAGTCTGTGGGTCTCTGTGCGAGTCTGTGGGTCTCTGTGTGGTGAGTCTGTGGATCTCTGTGTGGTGAGTCAATGGGTCTCTGTGCGGTGAGTCTGTGGGTCTCTGTGTGAGTGAGTCTTTGGGTCTCTGTGTAGTGAGTCTGTGTGTCTCTATGTGGTGAGTCTGTGGGTCTTTGTGTGATGAGTCTGTGGGTCTCTGTGTGATGAGTCTGTGGGTCTCTGTGTGGTGAGTCTGTGGGTCTCTGTGTGAGTGTGTCTGTGGGTCTCTGTGGTGAGTCAATGGGTCTCTGTGTGGTGAGTCTGTGGATCTCCGTGTGAGTGAGTCTGTGGGTCTCTGTGTGGTGAGTCTGTGGGTCTCTGTGGGGTGAGTCTGTGGGTCTCTGTGCGGTGAGTCTGTGGGTCTCTGTGTGATGAGTCTGTGGGTCTCTGTGCGATGAGTCTGTGGGTCTCTGTGTGGTTAGTTTGTGGGTCTCTGTGAGTCTGTGGGTCTCTGTGCGATGAATCTATGGGTCTCTGTGCGGTGAGTCTGTGGGTCTCTGTGTGCTGAGTCTGTGGGTTTCTGTGTGGTGAGTCTATGGGTCTCTGTGTGATGAGTCTGTGGGTCTCTGTGTGATGAATCTGTGGGTCTCTGTACGATGAGTCTATGGCTCTCTGTGCGGTGAGTCTGTGGGTATCTGTGTGGTGAGTCTGTGGGTCTCTGTGAGTCTGTGGGTCTCTGTGCGATGAGTCTATGGGTCTCTGTGCGGTGAGTCTGTGGGTCTCTCTGCGAGTCTGTGGGTCTCTGTGCGAGTCTGTGGGTCTCTGTGTGATGAGTCAATGGGTCTCTGTGTGGTGAGTCTGTGGGTCTCTGTGCGATGAGTCTGTGGGTTTCTGTGTGGTGAGTCTGTGGGTCTCTGTTAGGGGAGTCTGTGGGTTTCTGTGTGGTGAGTCTGTGGGTCTCTATGCGGTGAGTCTGTGGGTATCTGTACAATGAGTCTGTGGGTCTCTGTGGTGAGTCTGTGGGTCTCTGTGAGTCTGTGGGTCTCTGTGTGATGAGTCTATGGGTCTCTGTGCTATGAGTCTGTGGGTCTCTGCGATGAGTCTGTGGGTCTCTGTGCGAGTCTGTGGGTCTCTGTGCGGTGAGTCTGTGGGTCTCTGTGTGAGTCTGTGGGTCTCTGTGTGGTGAGTCTGTGGGTCTCTGTGGTGAGTCTGTGGGTCTCTTTGTGAGTCTGTGGGTCTCTCTGTGAGTCTATGGGTCTCTGTGTGAGTCTATGGGTCTCTGTGTGAGTCTATGGGTCTCTCTGTGAGTCTATGGGTCTCTCTGAGTCTATGGGTCTCTCTGTGAGTCTATGGGTCTCTCTGTGAGTCTATGGGTCTCTCTGTGAGTCTATGGGTCTCTGTGTGAGTCTATGGGTCTCTGTGTGAGTCTGTGGGTCTCTGTGTGAGTCTGTGGGTCTCTGTGTGAGTCTGTGGGTCTCTGTGTGAGTCTATGGGTCTCTGCGTGAGTCTATGGGTCTCTGTGTGAGTCTATGGGTCTCTGCGTGAGTCTATGGGTCTCTCTGTGAGTCTATGGGTCTCTGCGTGAGTCTATGGGTCTCTCTGTGAGTCTATGGGTCTCTCTGTGAGTCTATGGGTCTCTCTGTGAGTCTATGGTCTCTCTGTGAGTCTATGGGTATCTGTGTGAGTCTATGGGTCTCTGTGTGAGTCAATGGGTCTCTGTGTGAGTCTATGGCTGGGACCACGGTGTGAAAGAAGTTCAACACACACACACACAGCGCGGTTGAAACTCGGATCGGAGCTCGGCCTCTCAGTGGTGCCAGCTCAGCACTCTGACCTCTGACCCTGGAGCCACGTGACATTGTGGAGTGGTTCGTGGTGGTGGTGGTGGTGGGGCTTCTGATATAAGATGAAGCTCCCATTCCCCCCGTGTAGCCTGTAACAGGCTGTAGGGGCAAGTGCTGTTAGCAGCAGCATCACCCACGAAGGCTACCGGCACTGTGGCACACGAGGGGGTGGGTGGCAAGCGCCACGCCCGGCCGCCTTTGTCTCCCCGGTTGTGACGTTTACTTCGCAACGGACAGAACAACCCACATACGTCCGCGGTTGTGTACACACGCGTGGCGCGTGGGTTACGTGTGTGTGTGTGTGTGTACACAAGCACACACGCGCACACACACACACAGACACGCGCGTGTGTGTGTGGTTGTGTACACACCACGCACACACGCGCACGCCACACAGACACGCGCGTGTGTGTCTGTGTGGCGCGTGTGTGTGTGTGTACACACACGCCACACAGACACGCGCGTGTGTGTCTGTGTGGCGTGTGTCTGTGTGGCGCGCGTGTGTTTGTGTGTACACACACGCCACACAGACACGCGCGTGTGTGTCTGTGTGGCGTGTGTCTGTGTGGCGCGCGTGTGTCTGTGTGTACACACACGCCACACAGACACGCGCGTGTGTCTGTGTGGCGTGGTGTCTGTGTGTGTGGTTGCGTATTTGGCCTACTACTCCTCTCGCCCGCTCGCCGACCGTTCCGGCCGACGTTCTCGCTCCGTCCGCAGTTTACAGATGGCCACCGTTGCCATGGCGACTGCTCCCCGACCGCCGTCACGGCAGCAGCGCCAGCAGCAGCAGCTGACGCCGCCGCTGCTGCTGCTGCTGCTGGCCGTGCTGCTGCTGGCCGGGCCGGGTACCTCGGTGCAGGGCGGCCACCAAGGGCGTGACGACGACTCTCGACGCCAAGTGGAGCAACACCCCACTGCTGATCGAGGCCAGGTGGGTGGTGGTGGTGGTGGTGGGGGTGGTGGTGGTGGTGACGGTGGTGGTGGTGGTGGGAGTGGTGGTGGTGGTGGTGGTGGTGGGGGTGGTGGGGGTGGTGGGGGTGGCGGTGGTGGTGGTGGTGACGGTGGTGGTGGTGGTGGTGGTGGTGGTGAGTGGTGGTGGTGGTGGTGGTGGGGGTGGTGGTGGGGGTGGTGGTGGTGGTGGTGGTGGTGGCGGTGGGGGTGGTGGGGGTGGTGGGGGTGGCGGTGGTGGTGGTGGTGGTGTCTGCGTGGTGTCTCTGTGTCTGCGTGGTGTCTGCGTGGTGTCTCTGTGTCTG